TGTTAGCAAGTTGTTCGTGTCAATCAGGAACACGTGTAGGGTGTTTGATTATTTGTTCCAAATCATTAAGTAAGGAAAAAGAGAGTGCCTCAGCTCCACCTGGGTCATCCCTTGCAGAGCCAAGCCACTCTCCGTGATGTGCATTGAAATCCCCTAGGTAGAGTATCTCGGTGTTGGGGTGTGTGGATAGCAATGACTCATGGCAAGAAGTGAGAAAGTCAAAGAGTTTGAAATAGTTGGTAGAATTGGGAGAACAGTAAAGGAAACAAAGAAAAATAGTCACAGTTGGGAGAGATATTTTGAGCCAGATGACATCATAAAGGGAAGATTAAAGATCCGTGAGTCGAGCTATAGGTGTACGTGTGTTGCAGTAGGCGCATACACCTTCCTTCGAATGAAAGGAGGTATAAAGGTTGTAGTTGGAGACTTGAAAAGGTTTGGGTGAATCTGCTTTGGACAGTTGAAGTTAGGAAAGTAGTAAGAGGTCGGGAGAAGAGGTTAATACAGGTTGATAACCCTTTATCCGAAATTCCGAAAACCGAAAGGTTTTTGGAAAGTGGGAAATATTATTATTATTTATTTTTTTTTTTTTTATTTTATTTATTTTTTTTTTTATAACCAGGGATTAGCCCACCCAGGCATAGATCACTGACCCACATCGGGGCCTGGGGGGAGAAAAATGTAATAGTAATAATAAATATAATAATAATTATTCATAGTAAATAAAATTTTAATAAAAATACACCAAAATAAAATAATAATGATAATAATAATAATAATAAAATATAATAATAAAATTAATAATAATAATAATAATAATAATAATAATAATAATACTGTAATAATAAAATAATAATAATAATAAAGAAATACAAGAATGAAAAAAAGATCAAAAGTGAGAAACACGACCTAGACCTATGAATTATTATTATAATTTTTATTATATTTTCGCCCCCCAGGCCCCAATGTGGGTAGTGATCTTGTGCCCGGGTAGGCTAATAAAACAAAAAAAAAAAAAAAAAAAAAAAAAAAAAAAAAAAAAAAAAAAATCCTGAAAACCGAAAAATTCCGGAAACCGAAATGCCTCTGGCCCCAAGGATTCGGATAAAGGATTGTCAACCTGTAGATGGTTCTCCACAGAAGGAAAATTGGATCTCAGCAACAGGGGTGGCGTCAGTTGAGGCCCCCAGTAACTTGATGATCAGGTTGGCCTTGGGGTCCACAACCTGCCCAACCAGTGGGACCCATCCGAGAAGGCCTCGCTTCAATATTAATCTCAACTGACATAGGAGAATAAAATTGAATGAATAAAACAGATCAAGAATGAGTACGGTTATATTTATGGTGTTGTCATGATCGTAATGACGGCTAGCCTGTTGAAACCTAAGGATTCATATTACGCTTACACGTCCACAAAACCTTCTGAGTCTCCCAATGAAAATGTCCTCCGTTCTCTCTGTTTTCTTGATGACGTCATCGAGATGTCGTATGTTTGTTGACCGAAGTTGTAAACTCTTTCTGTTACCGAGACCCTGTAAACCTTTTTTCACCTATGAATATCAGAGACTCTGATAATCATAGTGAAATTGTGGTAGGGAGGTTAACTGAGGAGTTAGTTAATATTCCTGAAAGTAACTTTTAAATCTGCTCCTCGGGTGTTACCTTTTGTGATCAATTTAATTCTTGCTTTTGATAGCTCAGTCAGAGCATTGTTTGTAAAGATAATAGTAGGGAATGAAACTGAGTTCGTAGTCTCAGTTTCAAACGTCAGAGTGTTACAGTAACGTAATTCAGTGAAATGGTTAAGTAGGTAGAATCCGTGACTTTGGCGTGGGGGGAAGGCGGCAGTTCGTTTTCAAATTAGTAAGCCGCCACACTTCCCACCCACAGGTAGGTCATTCCACTCCGTGTTGTAATTCGTCATTTTTAAGTTATTTGACCTAATTAATAGTTTGATTGTGCAAGTGTTACAGTAACGTAGTTAATGTGCTTTGAGTGAAGTATTTTATGTCCTTAATGTCCCTTTGAAACATTGAGGTTCGTTATCAACGGTGAGTAAGCAGCCACGATTCCCACCCACAGGTCCTTATCGCAGCCTAGGCCGTGTCTGTAGCGTGGATGACACACCCACTAGTCTGGGGAGATGTCTGAGATCCAGTAGAATCGGTTATCCCCGTAAATCCCGACCGTCAGAAGCTCCACTACCACCTATGGACCCCAAAGCTGGCCAGTATTCCCCTAACGCTATGCCCACGTGGTGAACCAGGATCGTCAAGCCCCACAAACAACTGCCAGCCCCATCATTGGTGGATGAGTACAGTACATAACTCAGTAGGGCTATTTATGTGGTGGTGTTATTCCACCGGAATTATTGGAGTTTGTTGGAAGGCGTCACTTGGTGATGGGACTCCCATGGCGGCTGCTGGAGTATTGCTCCTGGGGTATTGAGTGTTGTACTGGCAGGTGCCACTGGTTTTAATGGGGTTAAGGTGCTGTGAGAGTTTAAGTGTGTTTTGGTGTGTGTACACCCAGTAGTGGTGCAAGTAAATTGAACCTGAGGGCATGGTACCAGGAGTTCCTATTTTGAGTGCATACAACGTCTTTTCTGTAACCATTTTTGTGTTTTAATAAACATTGTATTTGTATGTTGGATCTATGATTCACCTATAGTATTCACCGTTGTTCTTTCCCTAATGCTCGATACTATAATTACATGTACCCATGGGCCTTCCTCTCGCGTCACGCTACCAGGTCAGAGTATTAACGTAAGTTTTTCTAAGAGTGCCTAGCCATTAAAGGGTGGCAGCTTGTGTTGCGCGCTCTTACAGTGTTGTCAATAGTAAGAGAGTCAGTTGAGACCCTGCAATTGTGTGTAAATGAGGCAGAAAGATGGATCAGCAACCTGGGACTTAGACATAATTTTCGTAATGCCATATGGCAGCAGGGTTTTTACTGTAAAGTGCTTGTGTAAGTAACCAAAGAATTTTTCTTAAGAATAAAGAGAAAACTGTATACTGTACAGTACTATAAAGATAAAAATAAGAACAAAGAAGTGTAGGAGTATATTGTCTGTGGAAGACCATGTTTATTTGGGGGTGGGGGGGTTGGCTCCCTCCCCTCTCTCCCACAATATTCATTTAACACTTCTATATGCAATTCCACCACAATTCTCATGTAATTTAGGATTATTTGGTGCCAGGTTGATAAAATATTATCCTAAAAGAATCAACTTTTCTGAAAAAACAATCCCACACTGAACAACATGAGTCATTTGTTTACAAAGAGCAATCAACTGATCGCCTTAACACAATGTCTGTCTTCAACACTTAGTAAATTAGTACAATACAGTTGTATATTTATCATCACTTAATACAGTACAGTTGTGTGTTTATCATCACTTAATAAATAACATTGCAGTGTATTTATCACCACTTAATAAATACTATTGTAGTGTATTTATCATCACTTAATAAGTAATACTGTATGTTAAGTAATATGCTTTTGCATATACCCTGGTCTATTCATTAATCATTTGTCTAAATACAAATAGCCAAACTGAGTCATCATATAACACTTTGCCCTTAGAACAGTGTAGTGTGCCCAGAGAAACATTAGGCGCGAATTTTAAAATATGATGCGCCAGATTGACTCGCGCAAAAGAGGAAAGATTTGCTTTAAATTACAACATTGTCCTTAATTGTGGGTGTTGCTTTAAATCAATAATCTTAAATTGAATCGCTTTAAATAGACGTTCTACTGTATTACAGTAACGTATCTTTACTATTTAATGAAAAACAAATAAAAATTTTGTATTATGAGTCAGTATAGTAGACAAACAGAGAGGCGACCCTTTGAGGGAGGGGGGGTGGCGTGGTCAGTTTTACCGCCAATGGACCCTTCTCTCTCTGGCTGGGAAGTCGGGTGCTGACAGCCACGAGGGAAGATTAACGCATACTCAACAATTATGAAAGGCAGGGGGTTTAAATTTTTCGCTTACAAAATGTCACTGACTAGACTTAGGAGAATATAACTTGCAATGCTGGAATTCTTGTCAGATAGTGATTAATTTGAGTATAAGCATCCCTTATTTTGCACCAGATATAATAATTTTAGCAATCAACTTAGTACTGTACAGTATATTTGAGTACAGGTTGTGATAATTTATATGGTTGCTCAGAAGTTGTGGTTGCTCAACAATTATGGCTACAGTTGCAAAGCTTTTGTGACATCACTAGTGTACAATGCATCTCCATATGCCCTGGTCTATTCATTGATCAGTTGTCTAAGTGCAAAAGTAGCCAAGTCAAGCCATCATGTATCAATTTAATTTAAAATAGAAATTATAACATAATATGTTATAAGACAATGGTTTAGTAGTGCTGTTAATGTATATGCTGTGCAAGTGTCTTGGCACGTCACCTCACCACCTGAATCCTGAACAAACTCTTCATCAACTTCTACAAATCCTATAATGTGCTTGGCAAGCTCAACAATATTTCTTTGAATGTTTGACACACACACACACACACACATGCACCTATTCCCCTGTATTTCCAAGGGCCACGAAGTGTAAATTCCCAAATACTGAATTTAAAATCTTATGGTACCATGCCTACCAAGATTATCATATTTATCGTAACATTTTAGGTTTTTACACACACACACACACACACACACAGAGGAGAGAGGAGAGAGGAGAGAGAGAGAGAGAGAGAGATCTTCCAATGATAGAACAGACATTTCTATACCGACGTGGAGTAAAGTTGCTTAGTCCAATCAGGGGAAAATTAATTTTGTTTGATTTTAGTTGAAGAATGTAGTCAAAGAGTTAAAACTATTTAAAACATAAGAGTGTGGTAATAATTTGAAATAATTCCACTCTGACATTTATCATTTAAATGCATGCATGTGCCCAATAAAGACAGAACCAATGCAGTTCTACATCATTGGTTTATAACTTGACTGCTAGGTTTAAGGGTGTGATCAGGCACTCAAGAGAGTTAGCCCTTTAGACTGTAACAGTGATTGGGGCTGAATATGAGAGCCTTAAAGGACAGCCAACAAAACACTTCACTGGGTGCCTGCATGCAAATAGGAAAGAGTTATATTGTACTGAATAAACAAATGACTGGATTAATATAATAGGAGGATTATATTGTTAAATTAAAATAAAATAGCTACATTATTACAACACTGAACACTAACCTGTTCTCGATCCTGAATATTCTTAAAATACAGAACACCTTCTCCATTGATGGATATTTTTCCTGAGCCTCTGCCAAAAACAGTCACACTTGCTTTGCTTTGCTTCCTTCCCCCTGTAGTTGCAATGTAAGGGGTACCTTCTGCTGTGAACATCAACTGCAAAAAAGGTACAGTATACAGATCAATGAGGATGGATGGGGGTAAAGGATGCATTGGAGGGATGGGATATGGACATCCACGATGCAGCAGTGAGTGAATCATATTAGAAAATAGAAACGAGTATTTATGGAGATAGAAATGCTTGTGATGGGTGATGCTGTGGTATGTGAAGCATAAGGAATACTGTATATCAGACAGATATTTTGGGCCTTATAATGGAACAAGAATACCCTTGCAAAACACCTATGTTATAACAATAAAAGCAAATGAAAAAGAGCTAAAAAAAGAGAGACTGGGAAGGGGCGGATCCAGGGGGTCCTGGGAGTCCGGACCCCCCTTTTCATCAGAAAATTTCAAGACTTTTTTTTAATACAGTACAGTATTGTACCCAGGCATTTTTTGTACAGTAATACCCCGATTTACGCGATCAATTGAACCCGCGGAGGCCCGCGTAAAACGGGAAACGCGTAAATGGAACAAAAGAACATATGGGATTAATTGAAATAGAGACTGGGCCGACCCCCAAACTCCACTTTTTCAGACACAATACCTACGTTGTAGTAAAAATAACATCTTAATTTTATGATGGTATGCACACACAATTAATAATTAAGAGAAATATCAATAATATTAGGTTTTTTAACACTTACATTAGTAGAAAAGATGGCTGGGCACACAGGGATGGGGGCTTGGTTCCAAGGCAGAGCGTAGATTATTGGCCCTCACCTGTATCACTTGTATCAATTGTATCACTATCCACCACAGAGGCTTGCAGGGCCTCTTTGTCAAACCCCTCAAAGTCCATATAAGTCCATACCCTCACTATCACTATCACTGACTTGGGCCGGCTGTGGTGGGTGGCGAGTGAAGAACTCGGTAATGTTTTGATGACTGGGCGACCTTGTACACACCCTGCCCGCGCCGTTTCCCGCGTATATGAGTAGATGCACCGCGTAAATTGGGTTATTACTGTATAGTAAAAAGTAATCCCTATTGTCCTCAGAACTGCATATGGCTTGAAAATGGCCTCAAAATGTCAATGAAATTGGTCATACGTATTTTTAAAAAAAATTCTTAGGGGCTTATAGCCCTCCCCCCTCCAGCTGGGTGTACTTGCTGTGCTCATGTTCCCCACCCACAACTTCTTGGACCCCCCTCTTTTGATATTCCTGGATCTGCCCCTGCTGAGTTTGTCGTAGTATTTGCCACCATACATATGCCAGGAGAGTGCCAGTAAGTAAGAAAGAAAAATATCTACAGTAAACCCACTAAAGTAGTGGTTCTCAAATATTTTTGCATGTGACCCAATTTTGTATATCTGAGAACTTTGCAACCCATTGATTCAAATACAAAAAATACAGTAAGTCCTCGTTTAACGTTGCCCCCGATAACGTTGTTTCGTTATAACGTCGCTACTCTCTAGATACCAATAATTCGGTTAACATCCCGACGACTCAATATACAGTCAACCCTCACTTTACGCAGTTAATGTAACCCACAGGGTGCCGCGGAAAGTGAGGAATGCGTAAAGTGAATAACATAACATATGGGATTAATTGAAATAGAGTCCGGGCCGACCCCCAAACTCCACTTTTTGACGACACACAACTATGTTGTAGTAAAAATATTATCTTAACTTTATGATGGTATGCACACACAATTAATAATTAAGAGAAATATCAATAATATTAGGTTTTTTAACACTTACATTAGTAGAAAAGATGGCTGGGCACACGGGGATGGGCGGTTGGTTCCACGGCAGAGGGCAGATTATTGGCCCTCACCTGTATCACTTGTATCAATTGTATCACTATCCACCACAGAGGCTTGCAGGGCCTCTTTGTCAAACCCCCCAAAGTTCATATAAGTCCATATCCTCACTATAATTATCACTATCACTGACTTGAGCCGGCTGTAGTGGGTGGCGGGTGAAGAACTGGTAATGTTTTGATGACTGGGCGACCTTGTGCACACCATGTTCGCGCCGCTTACACAACATGGCGGATGGCGGGAGGTTTGGATCCAAAAATGGCGCGGCTCGCCAGCCGCTCTCCGCGTAATGGGGTACACACACCGCGGAATGTGAGCATGTTAGGTTCCGGCAGGGCACCGCTTAAACGTGGAAACGCGGAATGTGGGACCGCGTAAAGTGAGGGTTGACTGTACTGTACTGTACTATAGTAATGTCGTTTTTAGCGTTGGCACAGACTACTTTTTACGGTGCATCACCCTCTCTCGTCTTGCCACGCTACCTCTCACTCGCGGAACGTCACAGCGTCCCCAAGCAGCATCAGTCTTTGTTAGGCTTCCACAGCATTTGTGCGTGTTTAAGTGTTTTTGCTCTTAATACTGTACTTTAACAAATCAAATTGACTTCCAAGTGCCCAAGCAACGTAAGACCATTACCCTTGCTACGAAAAGGGAGGTTTTAAGCCAGGAGGAGGAGCCACCCGCTGGGTCTCAGTGACTCGCCACCCTCCTCCTCTGCTCCACTACCCACCACACATTCTCTCCACCACCTCCGTCCAACAGTGAGTACAATACAAAATTATTTACTATATATATATATATATATATATATATATATATATATATATATATATATATATATATATATATATATATATATATATATATATATATATATATATATATATATATATATATATATATATACACACAGTATTACCCCGATTTACGCGGTCAATTGAACCCACAGGGTACCGCGGAAAGTAAAATCAGCATAAAGTGAACAACAGAACATATGGGATTAATTGCAATAGAGACTGGCCCGACCCCCAAAATCCACTTTTTGACGACACACAACTATGTTGTAGTAAAAATATTATCTTAACTTTATGATGGTATGCACACACAATTAATATAGAAGAGATTAGGTTAGGAAAAATAAAGGTTAAGTTAGGAAAAATAAAGGTTAAGTTAGGAAAAATAAAGGTTAGGTTAGGAAAACTAAAGGTTAGGTTTAACACTTACGTTAGTAGAAGAGATGGGTCGGCATACGGGGATGGAGGCTGGTTCCGAGGCAGGGCAGATTACTGGCCCTCAGGTGAATCACCATTACTAGGTGAATCACCATCACTATCAGTCATAGTTGTCAGGGCCTCCCTGACAAATCCCTCAAAGTCACTTTCACTGTCACTATCACTGGCTCTGGCTGGCTGTGGTGGGTTGCGGGCGAAGAACTCGGTAATGCTTTTTTGACGGCTAGTGTTGATGTTGTCTTGATACACCTTGATGTACGGCTCCATAGCCTGCACCAGCCAGGTATGGAAGACTTCATAGCGGTCATCGTCAGGGTCGTTGGAAAGGAAGAGCTTTAATTTTTCTGCACACTCGATGGCACCCTTAATATGACTATGCATTAATTTGTGTTCTTCTGGGATTGACGCACCACCTTCCTCTTCACTGACGTTATCATCTTCCAACATCTCGTCGGCAGTCATTTCAGGATCTCTGATCACCTCCAGGATGTCTTCGTTGGTGGTCTCGGAGAAGCCTTCAGCTGTAATACTGTGCGCAGCTTCTCTTGCAAGGTCCAATGCCACTGTCACAGACTGAACCTCACCAGTCACAGGTTGACTCCGCCTCTCACCTGGTATACCATGCAACACATGCCTCCATGCGCGACGAATCGTAGCTATAGACAGCTGATCCCATGCCTCCACCAAGAAGTCTACAGCTTGTTTGACGTTAACTTTTTTCCAAAACTGTTTGACGAGAACTTCTTGAGTCACCACCTCTTGTTCCTTGTCCTCGTCACTTTTGCTCTCGCTATCGGTGTCACCCAGCTTACGCAACTCATCCTTGGTGTTGGTACAGTTGTTCAGGAGCTTGAATTTCTTTGCCGAGTATGCAGCTTTCACATTGCAGATCAACTCCTGGTCCATGGGCTGGATTAATGACGTAGTGTTGGGAGGAAGGAAGACCACTTTTACGTTGGGGTGACGATCCATAAGTAGGGGCGAGTGTCCAGGTGCGTTGTCAAGGAGCAACAAAATCTTGAATGGAACATTTTGTTGCTCGCAGAATTTCTTCACGTCGGGAATGAAACAGTCATCAAACCAGGAGAGTGACAGTGCAGAGAACATCCACGCCTTGCGTGCGGTCAGCCAGTGGACATTAATCTTGCTCATGTCCACGTTCTTGTAGGCGTGCGGCTTGCGGGCTGTGTGAATCACCGATAACTTTGGTTTACAGGTACCGGAGGCATTGGTGGTAAAGAGGACGGTGATGCGCTCCTTCTGCAACTTCCGACCCCGAATCTTGCTAGCAGACTGGACAACAAAGGTCTTGGTAGGCAGCTTTTTCCAAAATAGGCCGGATTTGTCCATGTTGAACACCTGGTCGTCAGTGTACTGCCCTTCCTCCAAAACCTCACGTAAAAAAGGAGGAAAATCTCTAGCCGCCACACGGTCAGCACTCTCTTCTTCACCACCAATGTTGATGTTGGTGATATTGTTCCTCTTCTTAAACCTATGCAGCCAACCAGAGGAAACATTGAAGGTTTGGGCTCTGCAATTCCCATCTTACGTGACACTGCTGCGTACAGTTCACGTGCATACTCTTGAACGGATCGCGTGTCCACCGCCATGTTTCGTCGCGCCTGACGAATCAAGTAACTCACCAGCAAATTTTCCACCTTTAGCAGCACCTTGTTCTGGCAATACTTGATCATTGAAGCACCTGCAGACTTTGTGATTCTCATGTGCTCTTTGATCTTGGCTGCATCCTTCTTAATAGTACGAATCGTAGATTCGTTGAGTACATGCTGGCGAGCGAGATCAGCTTGACGTGTTCCTTTCTCCAAATCTTGAATTATCTGGTATTTCATTTCGTAGCTTAGGGAACGTCGTATCTTCTTTGGCTTAGGGCGGCTGGGTCCAGGTAAGGAAAGGTTTCTCTCTGGTGGCGGTGGTCCGGCGGAAGCCATTTCACAGAACAATGGATGCACGAATACACGGTGTGGCCTGGAGGGA